GACGGTCTCGGATGTTGATGCAATGGAGCAGCAATTGGCAGACCCTACCTTCCAGAAACAAGTGGTATGTTCTAACATGACCATTTAGCTGAACATTAAAATTTTACAGTTGTACTCTAAAATAAAATGGTTATTTTTCTTAAATACTTAATTTCTGTCATATTAAACTTTCAATTATGATTAGGCTTAAAGTAATGTAAGTTGTTTTTTATCTCAAATATTTTGGTGGGTCGTGAAATAGATTCTACTTGTCTAGGTGGGTCGTGGAATGGAAACGTTTGGGAACCCCTGACGTAGTGGAGAGCAAGATAGGTAAGTCTTAAGATATTCTTGATTTTTAAATGGAAATACAATCTTTAAAAAGACAAGACTTATCTGTTTTAACTGTGAAAAAGTGGCACAGTGGTTGATTAACTGTTCTCTTTTCAAAGGGCCTTGGGAGAGCAAGGACATGGGAGTGAGGAGCTGCACTTTCGGTATTTTATTTATTTTTTAATTTTTTTGTGAAATAATGTATTTTAGAGTTTTCAGATATGCATATACAAACAATACAAGTTATGCCAAATAATGTTTGTCAGGAGCTTCACTTTTTTTTTTTTTTTAAGATACTTATGTTTTATAAAGTTGTAAATGTACAAGTTGTAATGGTCATATTCAAATTATTCCAATGAAACCTTGCTTAATAAAGCATGCAGAATACAAGTTCTGAAGTTGTTACAAGAAATAAAGATTTTCCGGAGCTTAAAATGTACTTTTTTTTAGATAGTTTTTTTTATAAAGTTGTAAATGTACAAGTTAAAATAGTCATGTTTAAATTTTTCCAAATAAACTTTGCTTAGAAGCTTGAAGTACTGGTTTCTGTTTATTGAATACCTTTACAATTTTAGTGGATTTATGTAATGTTTGGGTTTAGTGGTTTAACGTAAAATAAGGTAACCCAAACAGACAAATATATTAGCCCATATGTATACCTGTTGTGGCCCATAAGAGACCTACATAAGACCTAGTTGGGTCCCATCTCTAACCCATGTAAGCAGGCTCATGTAGGCACCAAATGGGAGCTACCTGGTTAACCCATATGGGCCCTATATGGAGCCCATCAAGGGCCCATCATCAGCCCATCTGTGCTAACCCATGTGGGACCACCATGGAAAATGAGGACAAAATTAGCTGGGTCCCAGTTGAGTAGCCCAGGTGGGCCCCAGATATCAGCCCAGTTGCAACCCCTATGGGCCCCACATAGGTGTGTTGGCTGGGTAAGCTGTTCGCCCAAGCAGAAAAATGTGCTGCTGCTGTCAGATCTCGATTGCCGAGAATGACATTGTGTTTGATGCAAAACCAACTCGACTAAATCAAAAGAAAAAACACTGTAACTGTACATTTTTGTTTTCTCAAGCAAAGCTAATTTTAAAAGTCCTCTGAAAACATATCTTCTTACATTTTTGGTCATAGACAACGTATGTTGAAGATATAGCTATGTTATTGTTAACGTTATTGACTAAGTGGTAAATTAAATTTTTTTTATAAAAACGTGGGCTATATAACATTTTTATAATACAAACATCATATTGTTCCCTTTGTTTTGAGTATACTCGTGTCACTTACAGTTAAAGACCTACTCTGATTTTATTGTTGTTCGCAAGGTTGCAACGTTACTTTGCAATATTTTAAATATTTTGGGGTATTTTGCATGGTCTGTTATTGGAGTAGTGTCACCCAGGTGGGATTTTTAACTCCTATTCACTGGGAATAAAAAAATTATTTAGCCTAGCTGATGCAGAGAGACAAAATGAACCTGAAACGATAGAAGAAGGATTGGAGATGAATTCATTTACAAATAAGGTAAGAAATGTTGGGGTCTTATCACTCAGCATACCCGGTTAAAAAAGTCACCGCTCGCCACTGATACATACATTATATATCAGGTAATATATCAATAAACATTGTGGACTCTTTTATTTAATTCAAATATTGTTTGAAATTTACTATAGGCCTACTGCTGGGTTAAATGAACCCAAAATGGTTTTTAAATTAAAATCACACACAATATGACAACGGTAACAACACAGGCAGCAGATAATAAAAGATTAACATTTATTACACCAGTTCAGAAAAAAGCAAAGCAACTCCATACTTATACAGCTTAAACAGTTCAACCAAATTCTTTTGAAAGGCTTGTTTAAGAACAAATTTAAGATTTTGTTCAATTTGTTCATGTATTTCACCCACTGACGAAGTTAAACTATTATGGCCAAACCATCACGCCAATAAACACACAGTAATAAACCTTCGAAAATCAAGATTAAACTGTGTATTATAGCGAACTGAAAGGTTAATATGTCAAATATCCTAGGCTGGACATCACTTTTGGACACTATTATATGGCAGATTATTGACTTTCCAACTGACCGCTAAACCATATTGAAAAAACAAGCCACTTTTATGAGGATTGTGGGCTTTCCCTGGGCCCGTATTCACAAAACATCTTAAGGCTAAAAGTAGCTCATAACTCGCTGATCTAAGAGGAAATCTTAAAAATAATGGGCATGTCAGTCCTAAATTTAGGACTCCTAAATTTTTGTTCCAAGAGTATTTCACAAAGCATTTAAGCACTAAAACTAGCTCCTAAATCTGTGAAACGTAAGGAGTAGTGAAGAGTCCTAAGTCACTAAGACCAAGTCACAACTATCCTAAAAATGCCTTTGGTTTTGGAGGTTATCCCAACTTATATCCTTGTTTTCATTAACCAGTTGGGCAAGAATTAACAGCTGTTCTTGTGACTAGTTTGTTTTTCTTTTATGTTTGCATGTCTTATCAGCCATGATTATTTTACTCTGTTAATTAAAAGGCTGTTTATATGCATATCTGCTAACTGTTTACGAGAAGCATACATGTAATTAGCTTAACATATACTTGTTTAATTAGTGACACTGTATTTTAAAATCTTTATTTGAATGTGGTAATTAACATTTTTATTTTTAAGCCTACATTCCTACATTTTTGCTCTAAGAGTATTTCACAAAGCATTTTAGCACTAAAACTAGCTCCTAAATCTGTGAAACGTTAGGAGTAGTGAAGAGGACTCCTAAGTCACTAACTCCTAAGTCACTAACACCGAACCACAAACTATCCTAAAATGGCTGTTGCCGGCAATCTGCCTTGGAATGTAAACATTTTAGAAACATTTGACGATAATGAGCTTTTAAAAAAGGTATATCGCCTTAATCGTGGGGGTATTATGACTGTTGTAGAACTTGTCGGGGACAATTTTCCTTTGATTAACCTATATCCTTGTTTTCATTAACCAGTTGGGCAAGAAGTAACAGCTCTTCTTGCGTCCAGTTTGGTTTTCTTTTACGTTTGCATGTCTTACTATCAGCCATGATTATTCCTCTCTGTTAATTAAAAGGCTGTCTATATGCATATTCGCTAATTGTTTACAAGAAACACGTGTAAGAGGCTGACAATTAGCTGACCATATACTTGCTTAATTGGTGACTCTTAGCTTGTATTTTTAAATATTTATTTGAATATGGCAATTAACATTTTTATTTTTAAACCTTTATTCGAATATGGCAACATAAAATCATGCTCTACAATATTTCTGCAGCGCCTGAAAATAGGCTAACTTCTGTCAACATAACCAACGTGACCACCTGCTTGCACAGGGAGCGTGCTAGGGACTATTTTCAAGCTCTGAGTAATATCATTGTGCCTGCTGCACCCATGGTACGGCAGCAAAGTTCCTTGATTATTACGCCGGAATGAGAGTATAGTTCCTAGCCATATCGGCCTAGACAATCGCAACTTTTCATTTTCTTAGTACACGATGCAACTACAGAAGAGTCAAGTTTTAAATAGGAAAAATAAAGAAACTCTTTGGTCGTTTTTGAGCGAGATGCTAACGGTCTAATCAGATTCAATGATCTATGCTAAGCTACAGCTAAAAGTGCTACCGCCAGACCCGGAGATCGGCTGAATGGATTTGAAAACGGTAAAACTCAACTGTTTAACTCTAGGGGAGGTGGAAAATGAGCCTATTTTCAAAAATAGTGGAGTGTTCCTTTAAGAAATCTTTCTTTCTGCTAATTTGGTGTAGAAGTATAATTTCTTATTATTATCTTTGTTGAAACCAGCTGCTTAATATTTTTGGGTTTAAATACACACAAGGCAAGGGCTAACAAGACATAGCTAGTGTCTTGTAATTAATTGTAATTACCATCCAAGTAATTAAGAAGTAATCAGTAAAAGACTACAAAGGGTC